TATATATATATATATATATTTCTTACAATGCTATGTATTATATGTATATATATATACAAAGATTCCCTCGTTTTTTCCTTATGTGTATATGTATACAATTTGCAAGAAGATAAATACACGTTATCGCTGGAACGATAACATTTATTTGCATATTCATATATACAGTGTCGGATTTGCTTTCTTCGGCACCCCCAGCACTCAACTTTCAAATAACATCTGACTTTCATAGATCCTATACGAGATGTTTCACAATGAAATATAAATTTTTCAGTGAAGATTACAGAGATAATTTTAAACGTAAAATATATCACGCGATGTTGCTGTGTTTTTATTAAAAATATATTTCAAAAAAGCGTGGATTCTCCAACTTTTTAGTAGAAATTCAAGACTGCATTTGAATATAAGTTATGAAATATCTAAGTCATCACTTTTTCACGATCGTTCTCAGGGTGGGAGTCGAGAGGTTGTCGCTATCAAGTGTGTGGATAAAGGGTCGCTCTCTAAATCAGCGATCGACAATCTCGTGACGGAGATCAAGCTGTTAAATGTCCTGAAGCACGAGCATATCGTAGAGATGAAAGATTTTTTCTGGGATGAAGGGTTCGTTACATGAGACTTTACGATATTGTAACATAATTATTTCGCTGTAAGATGTTGATGAGCAAAATAGATTATATAATCACAGACAATTCGCGATAAGAAATCACTTTCGTCGCTGTGTTAACATGTTTTTTTTTCTTCCTAAAAAAATAATGCTTATATACGTATAAACAGGCATATATATATTGTCATGGAATACTGTGACGGTGGAGACTTGTCGAGATTTATAAAGAAAAAGCATAAGCTACCTGAAAACATTTGTCGCAGATTTCTACAACAGCTCGCATTAGCGTTGAGATATTTGCGCGATCATAATGTTTGTCACATGGATCTCAAACCGCAAAATTTACTGTTAACGAGAAAACCTCAATTAATACTCAAAGTTGGAGGTCGGTATATAGTCAATTTATTTTATTTTTTCATATATTTTCGGGAAAATTGGAAACAAATATTTTTTGTTTTAACAAAATAATACTCAATGGCGAATCATTATTTGTCCATTTCAGATTTCGGTTTCGCGCAGTATCTGTCGAATTCGGAGCACAAGTTCGCGATACGTGGTTCACCCCTTTACATGGCACCTGAAATGTTGAAGCATAAATATGACGCTCGCGTCGATCTGTGGAGTGTCGGAGTGATCATGTACGAGTGTCTTTTCGGGAAAGCTCCCTATTCTAGCAGTAGCTTTCAGGAACTAGCGGAAAAGATCAAAGATAGCCAACCTATTGAGGTGATTGAGATTTATCTTTTATTTGCACCATAAACGTAGACCGAGCTCTATTGTATGTATAATGCTTTCGATTTAATTAAAAATTCAAGTAATGGAAAGAAAGTAAAAACATTCCTTCTTTTTTATTTGCCTACAATATAGCAAAAAACAAATATTTTGTCTATTATTCTCCCTCTTTTTTTATGTCCTTCGGGCTTTTTCAGCTTTGTTCTCAGTTTATCTTTATTATGTCTACAGCAAAAAAATCTTTTTGTTGCGATTGGTGAGTCAAACAAATTCAAAGTATTTGTAAAAAACACCGAGTAGAATATGTTTTTATAAATGTATATATGGCGCTTAGTTTTGAAAATTTAAGTGTACGTAATTGTCTTTAAATTTTTCCCGCGATCTTAATATGACATTATGAAATAAGTAATATAATAATCGACTCAGTATAAATAATATGCATATTAATTCGCGTTAAGATTCATATATAATTTTTAATCATGAATCATTTGTGAACGTTAGTATTATTCATTATAGATACCAAAGGCGGCTCATGTATCGGCGATGTGTAAGGATTTACTTATGGCTCTGTTAAAGCACAATCCTGCCGATCGAATAACATATAACGAATTTTTTGCGCATGAGTTTCTGGACTTAGAGCACGCGCCGACAAAAGAAAATTACGATAAGGCAGTGGCATTGGTACATAAAGCCGTTGAAATGGATGCTGAGAAGAATGTAAAAGAAGCATTTTATTTGTATTGCGAGGCTCTTAGATATTTTATTCCAATCTTAACAAGTAAGATCAATATTTCTCATAAATATTTTTTTAAACTCGAGTTTAAAAAATCGTTTAAATACGATCGACGTTTCGAATTAAATTTCTCGTTTTAATTCCTCGTATTCTTAAAGTTCTTATGAATATTTTATTATAATTAGACATTATTTGATTAGACGAAAGTGATCTAAAGCGAAAGGAAATATTACGGCATCGTGTGAACGATTACATAAGGAGAGCAGAAACGCTTAAAGTGGCATTTGTAGATGATAACGATGAAAAGTGTGCGCCATCTGAAAATAAAGGAAATACTTCATCCTTGCAAAGGATACCGTCTTTAGAGAGAAGCTCGGTATTCGCCTACAATGAATTACGTTTGTATAATATTGAATTTTCCAGAATAAAATGCTTATAATGCAATATATATCTCAAATGGAATTTAATATAATCAATTATATCGTTTCTGGTTATCTAACGCGAAAAACTAAGAATAATAAAAATATTTAAAAATAATAGTTTGAAACTCTTCATATAAATTATAAACGATGGTCGTGATATAATTTATTTATCGTTAGGAATTCTCAGTAAAAGTACCACAGGTATGACAGCTGCACTTGAAATAGGAGAAGCTGGTGAACAATATCTTGCTGAGGGTAATTATGCCCTGGCTCTAGAAAAATTTCAATCTTGTCTAGGTGTACTTGTGCCTTTATTGGGTAAAGAACCATTAGGCCGAAGAAGAGATTTGCTGTATAAACAGGTGATTGGATGAATCAGAATATTTTACTCTATTAAAATATATCAGATTATTTAAAAAACCTTTGCATATTTTTTATAAATTTTATTACAAAAATAAAATAAATATAAAATAGAATACAAAAAATATATATAAAGTGTAAAAAAATTATTAAAATCTTTCCTCAATATAATTTTCTTTTTTTTTTTTCAATCATTTTTTCCATCATTTGACTAGTTAGTCTATGCGCTATTCAATATATTTTGAATTATATTTCAAATATTTTAAATATTAAAAAATATATACATGCAAACATAATACGTGAAGAATTTTGAGTGATCCGATAAATACACCAGCAAATGACTAATAATTGTTCTTTAACCTTCTGACAATTGCGAGACCGATGTCCTCAAATTTATTATTTCATGATAAGGTGATGAATCATTAATGACTCATAATAATATCGATGATAAAGTATCGATACATTAATAGTCTGAACGAAAAGTAATAAGAGTAGTAAAGAAAGAAAAGTAGTAAAAGTAGTAAGAGAGAATCTTGTAAGCTAATTCAAGTAGGACGAAGCAAATATGAAAAAAAGATTTTAAGAATAAATCTTCTGGAAACTATGTTAATTGTGATACGATCGATCCATGGACGTGAAAATAAGATAATATAAATGAAGCGTGAATACCAATTTAACATGAAAATAACGCAATTTTACCGTTTACTTATATCGGTACATGTTAC